GTGAATGGAACCAGACAAGGATGCCCTTTATCATCACTCTTATTCAATATTATACTGTAAGACAGCATGAGCAATTAGACAACAAAAAGAAACCAAAGACATCCAATTGGCAAGAAGAATTTAAACTCTACTTGCAGGTGATATGATTCTATACTTAAAGACTCTACAAGAAAACTGTTGAAACTAATTCAGACTCAGCAACACAAATTCAATTGGATTCCTGTATACTAAAAGAGCTCTCAAAAAGTAATCAAGAAAACAGTAACATTTACAATTATCACCCCAAAGATGAAATACTAAGAAATAAACCTACATAGTGAAACAAAATATTTGTGCAAAGAAAGCTAAACAACACTGCAAAAGAAACCTAAACAAATAGCCTTACTATTGTGAAAATGTGAATGTTACTCAAAGCAATCTATACATATATAAGGCAATTTCAATCTAGAGCCCAGCATCATTTTTTAAAGAAATGGAAAATCAAATCATGAACTTTATATGGAAAGGAAAGAGACCCAGGATAAGCAAAAGCGCTACTAATGAACAATCCTGCTAGATGTGATTGAACTAATGGAATGTGATATATGTATTAATTCTCATTAATAATTACAAAAAAATCTAAAAAGTACAACTTAAAAACCTACGATACAGCTACAGTATTTACAATAGCCTGGTACTAATGCAGGGAGAGATATGCAGACCAAGGGAGCATAGTAATTAACTTAGAAATATATCCATCCATTGACAGACAACAAAATTTTGAGGAAGTGCAGAACCACATTAAATGGGGAAGAGCCAGTATCTTCAACAAATGGTGCTGCAAAAATTGTATTTCTATTTGAAGAATGAAACAGGGCCTATACCCCACTCCATATACAAAAACACACTCAAGACAGATTAAAGAGCTAAATGTAAACCCTAGAATTATAAAGATCATCAATGAATAAATAGAAGCAAATTTGAGGACACTAAGACATAGCATAAATACACTATCAAATGTAAATAAATACACAGACAGCAGAAGACAAAGTAGATGACTGGGATCTCCTAAAAGTAAAACACTCATGTGTCAGAGATTTCATCAAGACTAAACGTGATTACCAAACAGAGTGCATTAGCGATGAGTATAGAAGATCAAAGGCAGGATCTACATATAACCTCTTCCCTGGGGGATGGACAACAGAAAAGTGGGTGAAGGGGGACGTCGGGGAGTGTAAGACATGACAAAATAATAATTTATAAATTATCAAGTGTTCATGGTGGGGGGGAATGAGCCGATGCCAAGGGCTTAAGTGGAGAGCAAATGTTTTGAGAATGATGAGGGCAACGAATGTACAAATGTGCTTTACACAATGGATGGATGGATGGATGGATTGTGATGAGTTGTATGAACCCCAAAAAAATGATTAAAAAAAAAGATGGAAGGCATAAATCTGACTTAAAGTTAAAACTTTTTCAGCTTATCTCTCCTCTTGTGCATGCTGGACCTGGTCTGGTTTTCAACATTTTTTTGTATTTTTGTTTGTATTAGGATGTATCTCAGAGGTGTTATATCATTGGAGATCACCCGTATGAAGTTGTGTTATGTTTTCGTGTGTTTCGGTACATGAAACCCAGGATCGATAAACCTATAGGGACAGTAAGTAGAATAAGGGTTTGGGAGAGAGGGGGGTGCCAAGGGGTGGGGGGGTGCAGGTGTAAAGGGAGATGATAAGGAGTCCAGGAAGAAAAAGAATGTCTGTAAAATGACTGTGGTAGCAACTGTACAATTCTGCTTGATTTGAATGAACTAATGGAACGATATATGTATCAACTCCCATTTTAAAAAATCTAGTAAGTTATTTTTTTATAAAAAAAAAGACTAAGAGATTGGGAAAAATAATTTGGGCATAGATTTCTCTAAAATCTAGAGAAAATCTCAACATCTCAACAGAGATGAGTAACTCAGTTAAAAATATGAGAGATGAACAGAGAGTTCACCAAAAAAAGCAACCAGGCGGCCACAAACATGAAGAAATGCTCTTCACCATTAGCCCCTCAAGAGATGCAAACCAAAACGGCAGTGAGATACCACCTTACACAGGCACTGATTGCAAAATTCAGGAAAGGAGAAGAAATGCTGGAGAGCAAGAGGAGAGATTGGAGCCTTCAGTCACTGCCAGCGGGTCTCTAAAACAGCCCAACCACTGTGGAAAGCGGTATGGCACTTCCGCACACAACTGGGAATGCAAAAATCCTATGATATGACCCAGCAATCCCACGGTTTTGCATATAATCGAAAGAAATAAAGAACATAGCATGAACAGATATATATGACCACCCATGTTAATCGCGGCACTAAGATGGAAACCTAAACGTTTGCTCAATGGATAAACTTTGGTACAGACACAATAGAATACTAAGTAACATGAAAGAATAATAGAATTGGAGGACAAAAGGGCAAATATTTATGACACCACTGTTAATCAAGAAAAGGTTTTCAAACCATGAGAACGAGATTTTGACGGTTACCAAGGGCAGGAGGGTAAGGGAGAGAAGTAAAATAGGCAGTTACATGAGGCAGTTAACTTGCTCGAGGGGGCAGATATTATATAACAAGGAGAAGGTCAAACTATAAAAGGGACGAGGGACCGAGCAAAGTATTAGGAGGTTGCATAAATTGTTGGATGCAACAATGTTCTTAAAATAACATCTTGTTACCAGTACAGACTATATACATATGCTGTGGCCACTCTCTTCAAGTAAGCTGCTTAAAAGAAAGGGCAGTGTTTTAGGTGGCGCCCGCCACATCCAGGGTATGAAAGTCTACCAAGCTGATTGACGTCCAAGAAACCGCAATCCACGCCAGACTCACCTGGATTGCACTCCAGTATTAGCGAGGGAGGTCCTCGTTTTCGCTGCAGGAGCAGCGCCAAGGTCTCAGCCAATCCCGGGCTAGTTACGTAACGCTTGTGGTCTAAGCGATACTTCGGCACGCACGAAGGCGATTCCACGGTCTCAGGGCAGGGCAGCGGCTGCGCGAGGGAGTCTGAGAAGGCCCTGCGAGGGGTCTTCGCTAAGTCCTTCCGCGTCCCCACTCCGGTTCCCAAAACGCGGACGCGACCACAGCCGGTCAAGATGGAGAGGGTCAGCCGCAGAGAAGGCCCGGCCACTGGGACCCACATACTTGCTCTCTAAGCTCTGACCCGAAGATCACTCGCAGTTGCTAATTCGGCGAACCCCGCGCGGGGCACCCACGTGCAACATTTCTTTGCAGCCAGACGAGGGCAGGCGGAAGTAAACAGTGGAAGCTGCGCCTGCGTACAATCAATCTTTTCTGTCTTTCTCTCACTTCCGCTTCCGTCGCGACTTGGCCGCGAAGGATTGTGAGTGGCCGCGTCCGGGCTCGTACTCTATGGTTGTCCGCCCTGTGTGCTTCCTCTCTAGCCGCTCGCGCTCTATGATCCCCGGTCGCTGGCGGCCGGCCGCGGGCTGGGAGGGAGGGGTGCGCGGAGGAAGGCGGGGCGAGGAGGCAAGTGGTGTCTTTCACACCGGAGCCGCGGGAGACCCGTGCCAGCGCCGTGACAGCTCGTCGGCCGCCATGTCAACGACTGGGGCGGGAAACAGCCTGTAGCCCTCTTGTCGCCTCCGATTCCCAGGTGAGGAGAGGAAGGGAGAGAGGCGGGGACCCTGCATCGGCTCGCGGTGGAGGTGGCTCGCCTTTCGGAAGCCCCTCGCTCCTCCCCCGGCGCTGCCCTCCTCCAGCAGTGCCACCTCCGTGCTCGCGCTCCTCTGCCCCGAGGGAGGTGTAGCCGGTGCCTTCACCTTCGTCCCCGCTCCGGTCTCGGGGTTTTCCAGCCGCAATGGGGCTCCGATCCCTGTGCACCGTTCCAGTTTCCCCCTCCTGGCAGGGACCAGTGCCAGAAGTCCTTCTCCCCAACTCGGTTCCTTTCTATCCCGTTGCCCACATCTCTCCACCCTGTGGTTGGTTTTTATTTTGCCCCGTATAAATAGTCAAACCAATTGTACTGTGGGGTGTATTTTAAAAGACCAGTGCCGAGACTAAAAATAGGATGCTCTAACTAATGGAAAATTTGGCAATCTTTTGACTTATTGGCCAATGTAAAAAGGCCCGATTTTTCAAGGGTGGTTTCAGTATTTCAGGTTCAAGTTCAGCATTGTATCCATTAGTATCCACCAAAGTAGGAAACTGCCAGCGCTGAACTCCCTATTTTAACAGATACAATCCTTTCTGCTTACTCTACTGGGAGCGTAATTGAGCTTGGTATTTAAATGCACAAGAAGACTTCTCAGGAATGTATCACCTAGCAAAATAGAAACCAGAAGCTTCTCAGCGGATGAACTTCATATGAATTGGTATCCTAGAGTGGCCCTTCTTGCTTTGTAAATGTATTAGGGCGGTATAAAAAGTTTTTAATAGCTATTTGAATATTTTTATAGAATACCATCTGTCATAGAAGCCCCGAGGATTCATTGTCCTTAATTTGTTTTTTTCCTATAGTTGATTCATGGACAGTTTTCTAGAATTGACTTTTGCGTGGAATTGTGGGTTAAGCATTGGGTTGCTAGCTGCAGGCTCAGGGGTTCAAGTCCATCAGCCGCTTCTGAGAGGGAGAATTCTATATGAGACTGTCTGCCTGTGAAACCCTAAGGAGCAATTCTACTCTGTTCTGCAGGGTCTATATGAATTGGGATGACTTGATGAGAGTGGGTTTGAACACCTGAGAAAGCATTTTTCTCTTACCCTTTACTGAGCTGTCTGTCTTTTTACTCTTAAAAAAATTGACAGATTAAAAAATATACTAGATATTCCCCAAGGGCCCTGGGATCCTAAATATTTTTAAATTAAAGCAGAATAATGGCAGAGGAAGAATATGATTCACTGTAGAAGTCTGTCACTGAATTTCTCACTTTGGGAATATATGTGCTTGAACATATGCTTACTTATTTCATAGAATTTGTGGACCAAGGTAGTTGCCTAGTCTGCCTGAGAGAAACAGACATACTTTCTTATTTTGCTTTTGTGTAGTAATTACCATTTTCTTATGTTAAAGAGAAATAGCTTATAATGACTGTTCTCTATCTCTTTTTAATAGTGTGAATAGTTCTTTTGTTTGTGGTTGAGTAATAAAGAGAGAGAACTTTACAATCATTTTTTGAGGACCCAGGTGCTAGAAACGAAAGAAAGTCCACTTCCCATTAAAGGTGAACTTCGGAAAAGCTTTCTACCTAATTTTTATCAGGGATGTGGTTTTGTGCATGTGATAAATCCAAAATAAGGAATTAATGTTAATAATATAGTTTATTGAATCCAATACAATCATTTCAACATATTAAAAATGAGATTATTTTATATCCTTGTTTTCACCCTAAATCTCAGAAACCTGGTGGGTATTTTACATTTACAACATATGGCCACTCCAACTAACCATATTTCAAGTCAGCACCTGTCTATGAGATTGCAGCATGGTGCCTACCTACCTTGTGTCTAATTATATTTTCCTGAAGTTCAGTAATATTGAAAGCAAAGCTGCTGTGCAGGAAGAGAATTCCGGGAGTCTCTTCCTCTTTGTGTGACTGTGCCTGGTGCTTGTTTTGTGATGGGTCATAGGATGAATTGAGTGCTCAGTCATTTCCTGAGGTGTCATTGTTACAGTTATTTACATCTGCATGTCAACAGTGTGTCAAGGCATTGTGTAGTCTTTGTCAACTCAATTGATTGGCATTAAGCAGGAAGAACCTGAGGGTCTAAAAGAAGACTGGGCTTCATTGCCAACAGGTAAGCATACCTACCTGCTGTTATAGTTCTTTTTGGAATCAGTTTCTGGTATAGCTGAGAGTACTGTAACATACTTGTCTATAAGCCAGTGTTTCTTAACAGCATTTAGCAAAATTTGGACAGGACGAGGGCATGCTTTATGGCTCTGAAACCCCCGGAGCCTCCATAATAGCAAAAGAGGAGCCCTCACTGGTGATGGTTTGGGGGATTTGACTCAGTGCACATAACAACAACAAAAGGAGCTATGGCAGTTTTTGTATAAAACAACTTATGTTCTGCCTAGGTATAGACTTTAAGTTGTTTTTGTAACAAGGATGGTGATTTGTACAAAACCATCTCTTGGTCAGAGCTGATAAAATGTTTTGCACCAGTCTGGCTAGACCAGAGGATGTACACTGGTACAGATAGGAACTGGAAATACAGGGAAACCAGGGCGGATAAGCCCTACAGGATCAGTGGTGTGAGTGGCGATACTGGGAGGGTAGAGGGAGAGTGGGTTGGAAAGAGGGAACCGATTACAAGGAACTATATGTGACCTCCTCCCTGGGGGACAGATAACAGAAAAGCGGGTGAAGGGACGTCAGTCAGGGCAAGATATGACAAAATAAGAATTTATAAATTATCAAGGGCTCATGAGGGAGGGGTCAACATTTGGAACCACCAGCCGCCCCGTGGGAGAAAGATGAGATTTTTTTATCCTTGTAAAGATTTTCGGTCTTGGAAACCCACAGAGGCAGTTCTACCCAGCTCTGTAGGGTCACTGTGAGTCAGAATGCGCACAATAGCTGTGAGTTTGGTTGGAGTTTTGTCCTTGGCTGGTACAAACGGTTAACATACTCAACTGCTGACAAAAGGGTTGGAAGTTTTGAGTTCATCAAGAGACACCTTAGATTAGAAGAAAGGTTGGGCTCTCTGCTTCAGAAAAAGCTATTGAAAATCCTCTGGGGCACAGATCGCTTCTCCTCTGACACACACAGCAGGACATGATGAGCCAGGACACATGGCCCAACCCTTCTCAAATTTTGCTAAAGGATTTTCTCTTATGACCCACCACTAAACTCGAATTGACTGGGGTTTCAATCACCTTAGCCAAGGGAGCTCTGGTGGCGGCGTGGTTACACACTGGGATGCTATCCACCTGCTGCTCCTCTGGGAAAAGATGGGCTTTCCACTCCCCTGAATAGTTCAACAGTCTGGGAAACCCACAGGGGCAGTGTTTCCCTGCCTGTGGGGTGGCTGTGAGTCGGCATGGACTCAATGTCAGTGAGTTTGGTGTTTTGGCTTGGTGTTTTCTCTATGTCAAAATTAGCCCCTGGGCTATTTAAATGTTTGATGTTATCTAGGATGAGAAACATGTCCTCCCCAATCTTTATGACATAAAGAACTTTTAAATGACTTGGTTAGTAAACAAGCTTCCTCTGTAAGATCTGGAAACCGTAAACGTGATGCAGCACGTATAGTGTGTGTAGTATTAGAAGAGCTAAGACAGAATTGGGGGATTGTTAATGGATATTGTTTCTGAGCATGTACACATGTCATATAGGGACATAGTAGTATTTTCATTTGAATTTAAATGTAGCTTCCTGTCCATTTGGCACTGTTTTGCTTGGGTAAGAAAGAAAGATGGCTTCTGCAAATTCGGCTTAGCAAATTTCAATTTTAATTATTTGAGGAAGAATAGTTGGTAGTTAAATTTTTCTTTTAAAAAATCCTTATAAACTCTCATGGTCTGTTAAAAATTGTATGTATATTGAGAAATCATGAATTTAATAAGTGTGCAGTCTGATTCTGTTGTAGAGCATTCTCTTCAATGTATGGCCTTGAAGATTTGCACAAATACAGATCTTAGTGAGGACTTATTGCCATGGGGGGAAATTCTAATTCAACCAGGGAATACCTTGTTTTTCATGTACTTGAAATAGTTGGTCTTTAATGTTTATAATATTTCTGTTAAAAAAACCACCATGGGGACAAAACAAAAAAACCCTTAAGTTTTATCAAAGCTTGAGAATTTGTAAGTTGTTTTAAGTGATTGGCTGTTTGGGGAGGTGGATTATTTATTCTCAGACCACTCCACCCTGTCACCTCTTGGGGCTTCCTGTTTTTCATCATCATTAGCCATGTGGGAAGGGAAATACTGACAAATCAAGATTTTTTTTCCCCCTCTGACTCTCTAGGAAAAATTCTAAAGCAGTAAGCAATCCTTTTAGCTACCTTTATTTATTAACATATTGGGTATTTGACATTTTAATTGCCATTTTCTAGGAGATTTTAGGATTTACAAAATTTTATAATCCTCATATTTATGAAATTCTTTTTTGAGAATACTTAGCTTGTTATACCAAGAAAATTAAGCCTGACTAAATAATTACAGCTTTATTCTTTGTTATCAGCATTTTGAAAACGCAGTTAATTTAGTAGTTGTGATTTTCTAATTTGAGCAAGGACAAAGTGAGTAACCTTGTAAAGGGCTTTCTAGATTTTGAAAGAGCTTCTTTAAATTCATAGGCTATGGCAT